TCTCTCTCTCTCTCTCTCTCTCTCTCTCTCTCTCCTTTACTCATCCCGTTTTGCTCTCCAACTTTTTTTTTTACTTTTCACATGGCCGTGGGTGTGCGAGTGGGTGAGCTGAATCGAGCTCAAAAAGATGTCAATACAGTGGAAAGAAGGGAATGGGAAAATGGACAGGACCTAGGCTTTCTCAGACTGAGAAGGCCTAGGACAGGACCAATAGTAATGTAATTATGTTGTGATAAATACTCTTATTATGGTGTTCTGCGAGTCACCAGAACTACCGTTACCTGTTAGATCAGGCCCGCCAATCATTTGTTTAGTATATGGTTTTACGGCGCTCGCAACTGCATAGGTCATATGAGCGCGCGGGACACACCTAATACTTTTTCGTTGGTAGGAAAATTTTGAATTTTGCCCGGGTGGCGGCCGAAGCCTACTCTTATAGATTTTAGACCACCAAGGGATCTTTAACGTGCGCAACTTGCACATGGGCCCTCCGAGATTTTTCGCCCTTGTCCGAGAAGGCTAGGTGTAGATCTTTCCTACCACCCGCCCTTCCACACACAGCCCCAAGGTAGCTTAACCCCCAAAAATTATGATTTGTGATTGCCATGACAATGCTCATTTGATATTTGCAAGTGTGCTATGAAATGATCGTCTCCATTCAATCTTGAGGGTTTGGGGTGTGACGAGATGACTGTAACGTCTTGACTGCACCGAAATGACTGGTATTCGCTGAAACAGAGTGCACAACAATCAAGTCAGTGGTAGGCCTTGAAAGAAAATAATACATTCTCTAGGAGTATTTATCAAGCAATTAATTATTGAGAATAACTTCAACAAACATTGGCAAAAGGCACAATCAAAAGGAAAGGTGTGCTGACACGGCAACTTAAACCTGAGGCCTGAGGCTGAGTCTGGGGGAGGCTGAGGTAGGGCCAAGGGAGAGACTAACATGAGGATGAGTTCAGTGGGCCCTACCGTAGGCCGTAGACTTACCCGATTACGATAGTGATAGGTCAGGGCTAGAGGATTGGCGGACACCCAGATAATAATAGGATCTAGATTTAGATCTATAATTCAACATACTAGATCTACCTAGACTGCTTGACTTTTGTGGCTGTGGAGCTCTATTATAAAGTAAACAAAGAAGCGCCTTCTTATGTGGCTCACTTTTATCGAGGCTGAGCGAGGTCGCTGAGCATGCAAAAGAGTGTTCGTTTCATTTCTCGTGCCGACAAAATCGCACTTTCCATCGAACTAGAATCTATGTTCCTGGATTGTTGTTGTTTTAAAGCATGTAACACAACAGATAAAAACAATTGTGATTTGATGGACTGCGTCGGTATCTATCAATCCTAATCTTGAAAGAAGAGCAGAGAGCAATTTATAGAAATAGACCAGTCCAACCAAACTTACCTAAACAAACAAAAGAAGGTCAGAGTGCAGAGGTCATAGTTCTCTAACTGAATTTTCTGTTTTCTCTCCGGCAAAGATCTTCATCAACAATCAATATTCGGGGTGGGGCGGAGGGGGGTGGGGTGGACCTGAATAATCGACTCTAACTCTAAAGGCCCAATCGACTCTATGTGTGAGTTGTGGCATGTCTATGGTTGACGGTTTTATGAAGTGCTGATCACTTATAAATCACTTCTAACTGTTGTGTTTTCTCAGTTCTGGCTTCCTCTAAAAGTTTCAAAGCTCAAACACGGTTGGTTTGTTTTGGGTTTTTTTTTCAAAATTCTTTTCCTTGGTCGCATTCTTTCTATAAAATTTATCTCTCATCCTCACTTGAATACCCC